ATCATTCATCTGCAACAATTTTTAATTGAAGTCTTGAAATAATAGAATGTATCAGAGACGTGTCCTGTTCATGCTGGTATAATCTGAGCTTTCTGAAATGGCGAGTGAGAACTCATAAATCGTGTGTGAGCACGGAGGGCTGGTGGGTTCACTCAGCGTAGAGGGAAGGAAAGAAATGGATGTTTGAGTTATAGCCTATGTGCCACAATGCGATAATTTCACTGCTTACATTTCCACGGGGCTTATTTAATATAACCTTCATATTATTTACGCCCTCTGGCCATTTATGATAAAAGACACTTTTAACAATGAGCTTTCCATCAAGGTGTCCTATTATTATTATTTATTTCTCCAAGCACATACAAGTTGTTTGACAAAGTCACTTTCAGCCAGTCAATCAGCATTACCTCGGCCTTGGAGAAGAGGACCCCATCATCTACACAGCTATGTTGAACTAGATTCCAAATCTAATGCAGGCGCAGGAAATGATAGAAGCTAACAAAGCAAATTAAGTTGTCTCTTAATGGCATCATTTTCTTTAAAGTCAAGACATGTCCCTTTCTCCATGAGGAATTCTCTTATTATTTTAAACTACTTCAGAGTGCAGACATTGTTTTCTAAAGGATATACATTTGCTTTGAATTATCGATCTTCCGAAACAAATTCCCTTTTGCCATTGCAATTCTTTTCCTATTTCATTTCTAAATGTGTTTTTCTCATTGATATCTCAGGCTCCTCAAGTTGAGCCCTGCACATTATCTGTGAGCCCTGCATGCTGACATTTTTTAGAATTAAGAAAATGTTTGTAAAATAACACATGGGCCTTACTGACATCAGTTGAATGTTCATGGAGAACGATCACTTTTAAATGCTTTACCTTTAAGGTTCCTTTTCTTAAGTCAAGAGAGCTTCAGTTGCATAGTATGTAGGAAATTTCTATATGTTAACTCAAAGGCAGTGCCTTTCCAGAGACTCAAATCTACCAGCTACTGCAGAGGAGAAAAGTGGGTAGAATCCTTTTCAGCCTCAGAAATCCAGTGAATGGTCAGCTCTATGTCAGTTACAAACCGATGGCAATGAATTCAGAGTTTTTCTTAAGGCTATAGGAGGCCTTGTGGCATAGTCCATAGAGACTTCTGTGCTGGTGACACCTTCATTACTGGTTCAAATCCACCAATGGCTCTGTGGGAGACAGATGGGGCATCTCCTATCACATGATTTGTTGTTGTTGTTGTTGTTATGTGATGTCGAGTCATTTGTGACTCATAGTGACCCTCTGTACAACAGCCCTAAACCCTGCTCTATCCTCTGCGAATCTTACTGCCTCTGACACACCCATCCCGATTACCCCAGTCACTGAATCATTCCACCTCATAGAGGGTCTTCCCTTCCTGCACTGTCCCTCCACCCTCCCAAGCATGATGTCCCTCTCCAAGGATCTGTCCCTCCTTACAACATGTCCAAAGTATGTCAGACAAAGCCCCAGAATCCTTGCCTCCAAGGAGCAGCCTGGTTTAACCCTCTCCAGGATGAATCTCTTTGTTTTCTTGGCAGTACAAGGTGCATTCAGTACTCTTCTCCAGCACCACAGCTCAAAGGCATCAATTCTCCTTCTATCCTCCCTAGTCATTGTCCAACTCTCTGATGCGTAACAATTAATTGCAAAGACCATGGCCTGTATCAGGCGCACCTTAGTCTCCAGAGAGACATCATTGCTCTTGAGTACTTTAGAGAGGTCCCTAACAGCAGACATTCCCATCACAATACGTTTTTTTTATTTTCTGACTGCTGGTACCAAGAGTGTTGACCGTGGAGCCAAGCAAACTGAAGCTGTGAATAATCTCAATCTCTTCTCCATCCATCCTGATGCTACCAATTGGTCCAGTGGTGAGAATCTTTGTCTTCTTGACATTGAGCCTCAGTCCATACTGAAGGCTGCAGTCCTTGACCCTCTGCAGCAAGTGCATGAGGTCCTCCTCAGTTTCAGCAAGCAGGGTTGTGTCATCTGCATAATGCAGATTGTTAATAGATCTTCCACCAACTCTCATATGATTTACACCATCATAAACCCAGTGAAGGGTTAACCAAAAGTTAGATCAGACTCAATAGCAGTGAGGTGAGGTTCTTAAGTTTCGGTTTTACATTTTCTTTTAAAGGTTTCTTTTTCTTTATTTTGCTGCTATTGAAAGTGTCATGGAATCCGCAATATCAACATCTGGAAAATGTTCAGAAACGCAGATTCTCAGACTCCTCCCTCTACAGCACTCCACCTGACCTACCCCAAACTCTGACAGACCACAGGCTGCATTTCGACAGGACTCCTAAAAAAAATTGGAAATTACCTACTCTGGATAGTTGTGGAACAGTAAATGGCATTTTGAAGGGCACCAAAACCATTAATAAATCTAAACTGTGACTTAAGAGGCAAAATAGTTATGTTATATATATTCTATTATCTTGTTGTTGTTGTTAAGTGCCATCAAGTTGTAGATGGCTCATAGCGACCCTGTGAATGAAAGACCTGAACACTTGTATCACTTTCATCATTTCTCCGAGTTCATAGAGTTTCCAGAGGCGAGCTGTTTCAGAAGTGGATGCCATTCCTACTTCCAATTATATTGACCAAACATGTTAAAATGTAACATGGCAAACTATGTTATATTAACTAATATTTTCAAGCACTTCTTGTGCTCCAGGCGTCATGTGGGCAGATGCTTTTCCACAGGCATTCTCTCGTTTGGACAGAAGGAAAGAAAAGACTCATTTTCTGAAGACAGGGAAGTGACTGGATCAAAGGAAAATTTCAGGAATATGTTACATATTTACTAGAACCTGAGGGCATGGATAAGCCTAGTGTGGAAGGATTCATGATAAAAACAAAGTAGTTTACATATGCAACGGGTCAACACTAGAGCAAAGATAGTGGAGATAGTAATATTTTCTCATTGATCAAAAAACATGGCAGCAGCGGACTTGGCCAATCAGGCAAGAGGTATTTGGATATGAGATAGCTAATATACCAGAAACACATGATGATTTTTCACTCCTTCTCAAGTCAGAACAAAAGATAAAAAATTATTTATGTCATATGTTTATTTTAAAGAAAAATGTGCATTTAAATAATGTAAAAGCATGCTGCTTTATAGAGATCCAAGTGTCTGCAGTGGAGAACTCCTATTGGAATAGAAGGGTGTTATTGTAACACAAAATTGTGAATATTTTTTTTTAGGAAACATAGTTGGGAACTCTGGAGACCTAGTCAGTTACACTAGTGAGTTGCACCACAATCCCAAAGGCAGGCAGTTCGAATCCACCAGTTGCTCCATGGGAGAAAGATGAGCAATTTCCTCCCCATGTGATTTACAGCCTCTGAAAATCTGTTGGGGGAGGATCAACTGTGGGTCAGTTCCAACTCGATGACAATGAATTGAGAGTTGTGTTGCAGGAACGTACTTTAGGCTAAAAACTAATGAAGAAAACTACACATTCATTTAGGTAGGAGAGAAACTAGTCTCTAATCTTGATTATGTGATTATGTGATACAGCACATAATAATTGATAAGCCAAACAATGGCACTGTATTCTTTTCAAGGGATTGTTGTTATTATTGAGTATCATCAATTCAGAACCGACCCATAGCTGACCCTCCAGCAGGTTTAGAGAGGCATTAAATCACATGGGACAAGTTTACCCATCTTTCTCCCACAGAGCAACTGGTGGATTAGAACTGCACACCTTTGGGATCGCAGCACAGCTTCTTACCCTTAGGCCACCAGAGCCCATTTAAAGGGATTAGTGTCACAGAATTTTTGTAAACGGTAATCAGATTTGGTTTTGAGTATGAGTTCTCAAAAATATTAGAGAAGTAGTAATTCTTCTACTTGCAGTAGATTTTTTTTATTCAAACCATCTTTATTCTAGTATGAATATGTTTATATAAATCTGTAGGAGACAGTGGAAAGTTTCTTTCTACTCAGACCCTGGGAGCCAATACTATAAGTCCATTTTTCTGAACGTAAATTTACTTGGGTTACATGATTAGTAATATTATAGATGAGAATTGGATTAGCTGTATATTATTACATAACAAATTATCCCTAAATGTATCAGCCTAAAGCAACAAACATGTAGAACCTCACAGTTTCTGCAAATCTGAAGTCCAGGCTTAGTCTAGTTAGTTGACTCTGACACCATGGCTTCCGTGAGGTTACTGTAGAGCTGTTGGTTGAGGCTGCAATCTTATCTGGGGTTGGGGGCGGGGGTTGATCCCATGTCATGTGAGTCTTCCCGCAGGGCTGCCTATGAGAAGGCAGCGAACTTCTTCCAGGGTGACCAATCCAAGAGTGCAGAGAGGTAGAGAATGTCCAAGATGGAAGCCATTGTCTCTTTCTAACCTAATCTTAGAAATTGCATCCCATCATTTCTACTGTACTCTACTTATTTGGAGAAGGTCAATTAGGTCAAGACCACATTTAAGGAGAAGTGATTCCACAGGTGAATAAATACTAGGAGATAGGACTCACTGAACTTACCACAGTTTGACTTCATACATTTTTGTCTTAATTTTCCATATTGTCTGTTCTAGACATATATGTGGATCAAGGAAATTAAAATGTCAATATATAAAAGGAAATAAAATTAAAGAAAGTGTGTTTTCTTATTATAAATATTGTTCAGAAAAATCATTCCTATTTGGAGTATTATTTTTTCCTTTTTTAAATTGATATTTTCATAAAAATTTATAGAGAACTTGAATTTCCACTCAGTCACTGGAGTATTCTTATTAAGACAATTGAACTGAGTAAAGAGTTAACTTATTTATGAACTTCCTGACCACATATTCTTGTCATGATTCTGGAATCATGACCATAACAGGGTACTAAATAGCTTTCAAAATTTTGCACTGAGAAGTTGAAGTGGCATCACATTGTGGCAGTGAGGTGATTGTGCCCCTGTGTCTCGGTGGCCTAACAGCCTCCATCTTGCTCTGTCCTCAACAGTATGCTGGAGAGTTCCAATCGGCTCGATGAAGAACACCGGCTGATCGCCAGGTACGCGGCAAGACTGGCAGCAGAGGCCTCCTCGTCTGTAAGTAGATCAAATGAGAGCATCCATCTGTTGGCATCTCACATGTCAGGTTCATTGTTATCTATATAGTTGGTGTGCTTGACCTGGACGGTTTGTGCTGATCTGTTGTTTATGTATTTATTGCTTTATTCGTGAGATCTTGGCAGTAAGTTCAGTTTAAAATCAACAGACTTGAAAACAGCACTACCCAAGGCCTTGGGGTGCTGTGATCAAGCTGGAGATCCCACACGTCCTTTGGGTGTATGAGAGAACCAGACTTTAAGAAAATTATACCTTCGGGCTTAATTGAAAGGAAAGATAAGGCAAAGTGCCTGTGTCCATGCATATACTTCTTAGACAGTATGAGATGTGAGATTTGTGTTGCAGTTAGGTGCCATTGAGTAGACAACAATCCATAGTGAGTCTGTGAACAACAAATCGAAGCCTGCCCTGTCCTGCACCATCCTCAGAGTCTCCTCCAGGCTCAGGCTATGTTTGCAGTTACTGTGTCCATCCAGCTCGTTGAGGGTCTTTACTATTGTTCACGGAACCTACATCTTTCCAAGCATGATGTCATTTATTCAAGCTCTATTACCGCCTGGTGACATGTCCAAAGTCAAGAGACAGAAAGCAATATAACCACACTATGCTATATGGTATCTGTGATTAAAGGAGACTAGAGAAAGCTGCAGCTGCATAGACACCAGCTGGTAAGAGGCTGTGCTGCAATCCCAAAGGCATGTGGTTCAAATCCACCAGCTGCTCCACAGAAAGCTGAGCAGTCTGATTTGAAGAACGTGTTTACTGCCTCTGAAAGCCCACTCAAGGGTCAGCTATGAGTTGATTCCAACTCAGTAACACAGAACCACAACTGTATATTTATAGATATGAAATTCACCAATGTGAAATGACATATATGAATAAAGAAATGTACAGAAGTATGTTGACAAAAACAAAAGGAAGAAGAAAATAATATTTTGCAAATGACGCAAAAAGCCTGTGCTATTTTGTGTTATTACATTGATAGGGAAGATAATTATATCAGGCCAGTATGGCAGGAAATAAGTGACCCCCACCCCAGACTTCAAATTGGAAAGATGAAAAGCAGTTTTTCCAGTGCTTTGTGTGTTTGCCTGCTAGCGAACCCTGTTGTGCTTTCCGCTGTGTATATGTGCTCCAGAGCCACAGAAAAGTCACCCATGGGAGGGGAATGGCAATTCAACTTGGTGGTGTTCAAGGAGAAATCATTTTCTTTTGCTTGTCAACATAGCTCATGATTCCTGCCTTCTCAAATGCACGTGAGTGTGCAGTTAGTCCCCAGTCTTAAAGACTGTAAACCAGATATTTTCCCTGTCTGTATAGCTCATGATTCCTGTCTTCTGAAATGCATGTGCATGCACAGTCCCCAATATTAAATATTGTAAACCACATATTTTCCAGCAGCCAAGTCAGCAGAGAAATGCTCCCGACATCTCCTTCACCATTGACGCAAATAAACAGCAGAGGCAGCTGATCGCAGAACTCGAAAACAAGAACAGGTAAGACTTCTCTTAGACTCACCAGCTCTTCAAATGAGAGTCTGCATCCATGAGGAGTCCCTGGACAATACAGACAGTTAACATATTCAGCTACTAACCAAAACATTGAAGGTTTAAATCCACCCAGAAAGAGGCACCTCAGAAAACACGCCTGGGCTCAAGTTCTGAAAACTCAGCCACTGAAAACCCTATGGAACATGGTTGCACGCTGACACACATGAGTTAGAATCAACTTAACAGCATCTATTAAGCTGTGTATTCATTAATTACTTGTCTCAAATATAAAGTCTTTGTTATTGAATTTGAACCATCCCATAGCTGACTCTCCAGCAGCTTTTTATTGGCTGTTAAGTCTCACAGGGTGAAATTTCCCATCTTTCTCCCTTGCAGCAGTTAGCAGATTTGAACAGTGTGCCTTTGTGTTGGCACCACACCTATTCAACCCCGTAAGCCACCAGAGCTCCCTAGTAACCATTGTTGTTGTTTGCTTTTGAGTCAGAACTGACCCATAGCTGACCCTCTGGTGGGTTTTCAGAGGCAGTAAAATGCACAGGAGGAGATTGCCTACCATTCTTCAGCAAAGCATAGAGTGGATTAGAACTGTGTGCCTTTGGGATTGCAGCTAAGCTTCTTACCACTAGGCTACCAGAGCTCCCATAGAAGCTTCTTTAATAACCTAACATCTGGAACATAACAATAAAACATCCAGGAAATAATAATCTTCATGCAACTCAGGTTTTGCTGCCAACCCTCTTTTCTTTTACTCTTTTGTTTCCTTCTTTCTATTCATCTGTCTTGATATGAAGAAAGAAGGAAGAAGTTGGAGAAGAACTAGAATGCCAAGGCCAAAGAAAGACTTTTTACAGTATCAGGAAAAGCAAGCCAAGCTTGTCCTGAATTCCATCAGTTGCAGTGTCTCTCCTGTGTTGTTCCTTTCAGGGAAAAGGCTCCAAGTCAAATTTCACAAGCCCCCAAGGAGCTTGTCTTGATTGTGATCTTAACCAGACTCTTCCCCTCTCTAGGGAGATTTGTTCTTCATTCCAATCCTCTGCTCCCACTCATGCATAGTGGCAGGATCTTTGAGGGAAATGATAATGACCTTTGACTAAATATCCCAGGAATATCTGCATCCCAATTGCAAGTCAAGCAGTAAGATCTGTGTCAGCCCTGACTGGGCCATAACACCACTCTTACTGCTTCCTTTTTACATTTTAGCATTGTATTCTCTAAATTTTCATTTTTAAAACCACAGAAAGAAAGAAGACATTGAAATTAGAAACTTTGACAAGCGAATTGCCATTGAATTAAAACCAACTCATAGTTGGCCCTCCATCAGGTAAAATAAGAAGGGATGGTAGAGAAACACCTTCATCCTGTCTCTGAGTTCATGGCTCCTCGTGTTCCACACCCCATCCTTGGTAAGCACCAACTCCCTATTGAAGTTCACTAGGCTCACAGCTTCATACTCTCCACAGACCCCATATTCACACCTCAGAAGCTTCTGCACCATGGAAACCCACTTCAGGGGCCCAAGGGACTCCAAGATGACAACTCAAAAAATCAGATCAGATCTCTGTACGTAAGGGGCAAAGTTCTTTAGTCTACCTAGGTAATTCATAGACTAAAACTATCAGAGGTAATGTCCCCATATAGCACCTTGGGAAAGAGCCCTGGTGTTTCACTGCTGACCCAAAGACTCTGCACCCCCAGTGGTTCGAATCCACTGTGGAAGATAAACGGACAGTCTCCTCCAATTGTGGCATACAACCTCAGAAACTAGATGGCGGATTGGTATGAGTCAGAGCTGACTCCACGGCAGTGAATAAATGAGTGAGTGAGAGTCAGTGACAGCATCTGAGAAGGATTACTTCAGAGTTATTTTTAGGAATAACATACCTCTTTAAATTACTCTGTATAAGTCACTGACAGTCTAGGCCAGACCTGTCAACGCAATGATGGGACGATTGGGGTAATCTGAGATCTATGGCCCACAGAGCTAGCCAGTCTACATTCAAATCATCTTGACCGTCAACTTGCTAGTGTCCTCAGAAAACCCTTCAACTGGTCTGTACCACACATTCAACTCATGAAATAGAACTAGAAATACCTTTCTAAAAGGACTGTCCCAATAAAATAAGATTACATAAAAAGCACAGTCTCTGTGTGGAGACGAAGTACACATGGTACACATCTTATTGTTACTTTTTCTTACCTGACCTGTGTCTCTCTCTTCCTTCCTTGGACCAAGTGGTTGATCTGTCCTGGTTCTGATTTTAGAAGCAGGAAGGGAACTAGCTTTAGTCAGAGAATGTGAGGATGGGAGCCATGTCCAAGGCTAGGCTCTTTGCAATTCCAGGGGCTCTGCAGTGGTTCCTCGAGGGACACTGAGGAAGATAGAGAGAAGCTAGAAATGCAGGAGCCCACCCGTTCTGTAACCAGAGCAACCCCTTGACTAGGAGACATACTGCATTCCTATGGAAATTTTCTTTTAGAGAAAGG